CCGTAATGAATTTTAACGCGGCGTCAGACTCATTTGGCTCCTAAACGCAATGTGACTCCAAAAATCAAAGTCAACGTTAAATTCAATATAAGAAATGAAATTGATTGGAATCGATTGGACATTCAGTGCCTTCATCCCTCCGCCTGTAGGATATCCAAGTTCCTTTGGCTATTTTTTCTCCAGTCAAATGCATTTCTACTTTTGTAGTCGAACATTAGAGCTCTTATTTGAGACCCATTTGACCCCAAGTTTCCGGACATTTTACAATGATTTTATTATTTAAACTTTACAAGTCTGAATTTAGATTTCGGTATTCAACAGCTAGAAAATGTTTTAAAAATCTGATAAAAAAAGAAAGTTTCTTTTTACAAATAATTTACAAACAATCAATTTTCCACCATAAAAATCATTTGTTCAGAATCGTAAGATATTTATTCATATTCAGAATTTCAACAGAAATCGATTTCATGCCTAAAAAAATTAAGTTTCCCAAAATTTAAACAATTTCAATTATTTATTTATTTCTTTATACGCGACGAATGTTTAAAAAAATAATGATTCCCTGCAAAATGTAATTTCCATAACGCTGAATATTCATGATTTTTTTTAAATTTTCTATACGCAATTTAATCGACAAATTTGATGATTGAAAATGGTTGAAACAATAGTGTGGTCTTTGGCTATTTTGTCTCCAGTCAAATGCTTTTCTACTTTTGTACTCGAACATTAGTTTTTATTTGAGCCCCATTTGACCTCAAGTTTCCGGACATTTTACAATGATTTTATTATTTAAACTTTGCAAGTCTGAATTTAAATTTGGATATTGAACCGTTAAAAAATTTTTTTTTAATCTAAAAAAAAATTAGAAAGTTTACTTTTGAAAGGAGATTGATGGAATAATTAAAAAATAGAAATTTTTCAAAATTATGAGTATTTTCTGTACGTAATTTACAAACAATCAATTTTATACGACAAAAATCATTTGCTCGGAATCGTTACAAATTTATTCATACTCCGAATTTTACCAGAAACCAATTTTATTTCATTTTTTCCTAAAAAAAAAGGTTTCCCAAAATTTAAACAATTTCCATTATTTATTTATAAGCAACGAATGTTTAAAAAAATAATAATTCCGTGCAAAATGTAATGTCGATACCGCTGAATATTCACTTTTTTTTTCAAATTTTCCATACGCAATTTAATTGACAAATTTAATGATTGAAAATGGTTGAATCTATAGTGTGGTCTGAACCAACTGTAAAAGATACTTGGATATCCTTAAATGGGAAAGGAGGTATGATCTCTATCGCGGAATATCATTTGATTGGCTGTCCTTTTTTTCTTGATAACTCATAAACAAAGCGTCGGAGACAAAAATTTCATTAGAGTTTTCGCCTCCAAATGACCCCTCCCCCCTCCCTCGCGATATCAAATTCATTGTGGAACACCCTATATGTAAAATATAAATGTAGTTTATCCCGATGAATAGCAAGTGTATGCACACAACATATTCAGCAAGTAGCATTTTTCAGCCGTAAAATTCTCATTAACATAATCGTACTCCGCGTATCTCCACGCCATACATATTGAACAAAAGTTACTCACGCTGTTTGCAAAACAATTACATTAAAACGACACTGTAATCTACATTTCAGCGCGTACTCCAGTATATCCAGCCACATCGAATCCACGTACCTCCATCACTGTTACTCAATAATTCCATTGACAAAAAAGAAAACACCACAAATGAATGAAGAATGAAGAAACCCGACGACCGCAAATTTGTTCACCACTCAGTGGTCGTTAGCTCATCTCTTTCCTCTCAAAAATTTAAAGTCAAGGCAGAAATTATCCACCAAATCCCCCAAACTGTCATTTTCACATTTTCACAGTTCACTCGGCGTTACCCTAGTGACTCCGCTACCACTGGTCTCCTAAAAATTGAAGGAAAAATAATAACTGCGGTTCAACCAGTAATTAACACTATTCCCGCTGCCGCATCCACTCCCCGATTCCCGAATTGTCTCCAGAATTCGCGAAACTCCCACCTCCCCCCACTCCAATGCCCTTTCAACATGAAACTCACCCAAGAAACTGAACAGACTGACATAAACCGATAAATAACCATAGCTCCAGCAATAAATGGTGAAAATTATTCAAACAGTAGTAACCATTATCTCAGTTTCATTCGACATTGTGAAGAAAAAAAGAAAGATTATCGTGCAGTAGTCACTGAAGAGTATAAACTGCAGTAGTAACCGTGATAGTGTAGTGAGCGTTGGTTACTACAGTGGCCTCATGATGATGCGGCGCGGAGGTGAGCTGGTGGTGGTACGCCTCCTCGCGGCGTCGTGGTCCGTCGCACTCAGCGTCGTCGGTCTCTCACTAACACGATCAATCCATTGTGAGAAAATTCCTTGGCTCCACGGACGTGTAGCCTTCTCAGCGTGGCTTTTTCTCTCTTCCAATGCACATACACACGTGTAAACTCATCATCTCTCTCGGTTCCTCGAGACGGAAGNGGGGGGGGGGGGGGGGGGGGGGGGGGGGGGGGGGGGGGGGGGGGGGGGGGGGGGGGGGGGAGTACTATACCCCCAATCGCGGGTTCACGCACGTGTGTAAGTTCATCGCGTTAAATTCCAAGCGCATTGCGATTGGAGTGAATCACCCCAACGAATTATGTAAAACAAGTTGACTAAAATCTTCATTTACGTTTGCATCTATAAATGCAGAAACCGAGCGTGCGGGGTAACGGCAGTGAAGAGTTCAAGGAGGAAAGGGAGAGAAACTATAAAAAAAAGAATGCGACTCGCGTATGTTGGCGATATAAATAGACGATAGAGCCCGGTGTGTTATACAGCTAGAGCGCTTCTTCAATGTTTCTCCGCTTCTCTCTGAAAACCCTGGGGTTTCAGGTATACATACATATCGTGAGCACACTAGAGACGTGCACGAGCGTACGACACAGCCCCCGAGTTGGTCCGTCTCACTTCCTCGAACCACGTCACAGAGAGGTGGTGTATTTTGCCGAAGGAGTGAGATATTCGTGGGGGCGAAAGGGAGGGAGAAAGGTCGGAGGGAGTGGGGTAGAAAGCGCGTGCGAGTGACCCCCAGTCGCACACGAAAGAGGGAGACAAATGTATTTTTCTTTTTTTTTCCTTTTCATAACGAGAATAACAAGAACAGCATGAACTACGGGGGAATCGTGAGCAAAAAGGACGAAAGACTGCGCGAGCGCACAACAGCTCCAACTTGCTTCACACTCGGATCAACTCGCCAGTTGGGTGTCAGTGTTGGGGCACACGGACACAGGGGCATACAGGGGATTGGCGCAAGGCGCGATGTATTCCAAACATATTCTGAAACAAGCGCGGCACACTGTGACGCACGCGCGTAGGCAGCGAGGGTTTACATGTACATACACAGAAGAGGTTTTGAGAGCCAACGGAGCAGACAGGCAACGCCGCACCTCCTCCGGTCCCATGCCTGGGTCCCTCGCACAGAGTCCATCGGGTAAATAAACACGGGACACAGCCACATGCAATTTTACACGGGACGAAGGAAGAGAGTAAAAAATACTGATATGGTTTTGAATACGCAGTGGATATTCCAGGGGTGGAATCGAAAATATGAGTGGGGAATACGAACAGGCCAATTGCTGGACGGTTAAGGGGAAACGGAATCCCTGTGTCTATATGAACTTTTAGAATTGTATTTTCTCCCGCAATCATGGCTTTTTTATTTATGAAACCACTTCATTGACTCAACAATGATCGAGTCGATATGGCCGTTATGAAATGGAACGGAATGATCGAGTCGATAAAGTCGTTTCATTGATAAAAATTAATAATTGTAGGAGATAATGCAATTCTAAAAATTCATATGGACACATGGGTTCCGTTTCCCCTTAAGGGAAATTCGAGTTTCGTGGTGGGATCTGAAATAAAAGAATCACCTAAATGGGAATATGATGGTTTTCATACCTCCAAGGATGTTTTAATGAGCAGAAAAAAATTATCTGATGTCGAAACACCAAAACAAAGAACAATTAAATTAAGAATTAGTTGAATGCAGCCGAAACGTCCAATTTCCGGACGACTGCGTCACATTTTTTTTATTTATTAAATGTCGATTAATAGAAAAATAATTGATCATATGATTGTACACGAGTAGTGTGATTGAAAAATGAAATAATCAGTACAATTTTCATTTTATCATTCATGGAATATTCAATGGATGTAAAAATCGTCCAGAAATTCACCTGTTTACCCCAGACTGCTTTCATTCAGAACTCTTCCCGTTTGATATATTGCTTCCATATCGAAGTGTAAAGCAATTCAGTAGCGAAGTGGTAAAACGGTGTAAGTCGACTTATCTCCCAGTTGAGTTTTTGAGGAATATTTCCGAATCTAAGGGAGATAACGAAATTTTCGTAATTACCTTTGTTGTAGCTCTCAATCCGCTCTACAAAAAAGGTTATAACAAAAATTTTGCCATCTCCCTTAGATTCCGAGAAATTCATTGAAAACTGGTCAATAGTCAAAATTGACTACTTCACTACTGAACTATTTCAACGAAAAATCATTTTCTCGATTTTTTTGCATTTCGAAGGGGGATTTTTCCGGGATAGAGATGTGTGTTCCGAGAGACGAGCGAAGTTACGCTACAATTTCTTGAAGTACAATTAGTGAGGTATAGCCCCCCCCCCCATTGGCCGCACTTGTTTGAGCTTTTTTCCTTTTCTCTCTTGCATACTCTCACAATTATTGCGTACACACGTTCTTGAGTGTACTGGTGTACTCAGCGGTTTTACTTGTTTAGTTACAACTTTGGAGAGGGGGGGGGGGAATGGCGAAGGAGAGGTGGCAGGAGAGGGGTGAATGTAGAGGCGGACGTGGCGGTACACTCTGTTGGTATTTACCTGCTTGGTTTTTAAGTAAAAAGGGAGTTGCAAAGCGGGGGGAAAAAATGTACGTGTATTTCACCGTATAGATATTTACCGTGCGTAAGCCGTGTGCCTCCGATGACTGCGACGACGTTACACTGAATTATTGACATGTTTGAAGGAGGGACACTTATTTTATTCCACGCGCGCACACACAACTTCCTTCCTTCTTTCTTACTTCAATTATCATTAAAATTCAATATTTACTCGTGGAGTTTAAACTGCACACATATGCACACGATTTTTTTTTCCCTGCGAATGAGGGAATTGGGGGAGACAATTTTTTTACTCGTGGTTTACGAGTTATAATGACGATGTTATAATTTTTCTCAAGAGAACTGTCTGAGATGCTGAGGGAATACGGTATCTTTGGCTAGACTTTTCCATTGTATCGGCGAAAATAACAAACAGAACTCCAGTGCACGCATGGGGGCTCAGCTAACAGGGATATGGAGTAACCATACGAAGGTATGAGAGCTACTGAGAAATAATGAAAGACAGAGAGAGTGAGGGGCGGGGGAGAGGGGTATTCATGCGCGCCCGCGCACAATTCACTGACAGGCGACACTCACTATATGGGCACCGGTCGACGACGACCAAGTGTATTTAGCCTCCGCCAGACACTATTTTTTTCCTCTTTCTCATTGATCTTTTTACCACTGTCTATCGGATTGCTCTTACGTCACTTTCACGATGAAAACTGTGTGATAACACCGCAATGGGAGCTGATTTTTGCGTTAACAATGCGTCGTTTCGTGAGGTTCTTTCCTTTTTTTTTCAACCACGGAATCGCTAGTTTTTTAATGCTCCCGGAGATGTGTATGGTGCTACTGCTGCTGGCTCGAGCACAGAGCGCCTACGCGAAACTCACGGCGAACCGAGCGTGAGCCGAAGTCTCCGTAGACCGTAGACTGTAGTATCCAGGGGTGTATCTGACAACAGCGGAGCCCCCATCCGAGAAAAAAATACTGCATTCACTTTTCAAGACAATTACTTCGTCATCTACGGAGCAAAAATCAAGGGCCAGAAAAGTTACGATAATTCGAGGAATTTAACGATAATTTAGAACACTGAAAGATTCATTCAAACGTAGAGCATCTGCTCTGGAAAAAAATTACTGATTCCTCCAGCGCATCGTCTATTAGAAGAAAAGTGTTTGCGGGACAATTTTATTGTTTTTTTTTCGGAATCAACTGAGAGACAAATGTGACTTCGATTTTAATCGATTTCCTGAATCAGCTGAGTCTCCCCCTTCGTGATTACACTCCTGCGGCTATTCATACTGAGACCGAGTTGAACGAAACTGTAGCAAATAACAGTGCCGTATCACCCGCACATTGCCGCAGTAGTTCTTTGTTGCACAATTCCCGCGCAATTTACACGTCAAATGAGAAGTGCTCCCTCACTCAATTCATGCATCTATTAAATTTTCAGGTGATGAGATGGAATGTTACGAGGGAGGAAGAGGTTTAAAATAGCGCAGGTAAAATAGAACAATCAATGGTCTCCGGTTGGATACCTGAGAAAAAAAGCAGACAACACAGGCCTCGCGGGGACGGGCGGGAGGGGGGTGGGAGAGGGGAGAGGGCGGTTAATAGGGGATTAAATTCTTGAAACGGCTTCCACGGGTGGAGGAGGTGCAGTGTGGAAATGAATGAGGGAAGGGAGAACCGACGCGGGGTTCTCTCATGACGTGCCGTCAGGGCCTAGAGAACAGTGCCATTCATGCTTTAGTAACTCGAAGCTCGCACAGGGGCACTTGGAGTTCATCAACGTGTTCAGTGCACCAAACAGAAGAGGGTTGAAAGATCGCATTGTTACGCTGACGTCTTCGAGTATTGGTTTTTGAGGAGGGATTGAATATTTTTTTCACTCGACCTTATTTCGCTCTTCTTCACCTTAATTCTGTAGCGAAGTGGTAAACTAGGATGAGTGGAAAAATGGAACTTTTTCAGGAGTGTTGAAATAGTATATTTCGTTACGAGTGCGGAAAAGAGTGTTTTTTAGCCCGTGGGATTATATCACTCGCCTTCGGCTCGTGTTATAAACCTACCACGAGCTAAAATAGTATATTTCGTAACGAGTGCAAAAAAGTGTTTTTTGGCGAGTGGGAGGTTTACATTACGAGCCGAAGGCGAGTGATATAATCCCACGAGCCAAAAACATTTTTTCACGAGTTATGAACAATATTTTTCATCACAATGTGGCGGAAATTGGACTTTTAGGCACGCGGAGCGTGCCGAAAAGTTCACTTTTCGTCACAGCGTGATGAAAAACACTTTTCCCACGAGTATCGAACGATATTTTTCATCACATTGTGTGGAAAAGGGACGTTTTAGGCACGCAAAGCGTGCCTAAAATAGTTATTTTCATCACAAGGTCCACAAAGTATTTTCTGACGAATGTGATTATAGGCCACATCCGTCAGAAAATACTTTTGGACCGTGTGATGAATGCAATTTTTCGTCAGAAGGCCCGGTAAACCGCGATTCTAACCTCGCTTTGCTCGTTGCTTCGTTGTTCTGGATGATTTCATTTCGTCAGGAGGCCCGTCAGAAGAATCGCGGTTTACCGGGCCTTCTGACGAAAAGTTACTTTTTCGCATAGCGTGATGAAAAATTTAATCCTAGATTGGCCAGCCCGTGAAGGAAACGCCGCCGCGCGTCGTTTTTCTTCAATTAGCATTGACTGGCTAACCGGAATAACTTCAGAAAAATTTGACTTTGTCAATTGAAGTGTCTAGAAAATTATAGTAGTTTTTAGGACAACATGTTTCCCGAAATTCATAAAGGAAACAAATTATTTCGAAGAGATGAATTCAGTATAGCGAAGTGGTAAAGCGGTTTAAGTTGATTTTAACTATTGGCCAGTTTTTAGTGAATATCTCGGAACTTAAGGGAGATAGCTAAATTTTTATCAAGACCTTTTTTGTAGCACTCAATTTTCTCTAGAAAAAAGGTTATTACGAAAATTCCATTATCTCCTTTAGATTCGGAGATATTCTTCAAAAAGTCAACTAAGAGATAAGTCGACTTAGACCGCTTTACCACTTCGCTACTGAATTATTTTTTCACTTTTAGAATTATGTTTCTCCTGCAATTATTATTTTTTACTCATGAAACTACTTCATTGACTCAACAATGTAATGATCGACTCGATAAAGTAATTTCATAGATATAAAGTAATAATTCAGTAGCGAAGTGGTCAAACGGATTAAGTGGATTTTGGCTATTGGCCAGTTTTCAGTGAATATCTCGAAATCTAAGGGAGATAGCAAAATTTTTCTCATAACTTTTTTAGTAGCACTCAATTCGCCCTACAAAAAAGGTAATTATGAAAATTTCACTATCTCCCTTAAATTCGGAAATATTTCTGGAAAACTCAAACTAACGACTAAATTGACTTAAACCGTTTGACGACTTCGCTTCTGAATTGCAGAAGACACAATTATAAAAATTCAGATAGACACAGGGGTTCCGTTTCTCATGACGGGACGTTGCCGGAAACTCGCTAAACGCACCCGGGCTGTGTAGGATGAATTCGGCAACGCTAAAGTCTAAATAACACTAGGGTTAACCACGTTTGAGAGAACTTTCGATTCAAGCAATAGAAATTTTTTCAAAACAATTGCACTTATCCTAGTTTAGGGTGAACAGGTCAATTTCTGGATGATTTCAATTTGCATTGAATATTCTATAAATAAAATGAAAATTGTACGGATTATTTCACCTTTGAATAATATTAGTCGTGTATAATCATGTGATCAATTATTTTTTCTATTGATCGACATTTAATAAATGAAAAAAAATATGGCCCAGTCGTCCAGAAATTAGGGGTTTCGGCTACATTCAACTATTTCTTAATTTGATTATAATTTGTTTTGTTACTTTCACTTCAAATAATTTTTTTTCTGCTAAGTAAATCATTCTTGAAGGTGTGGAAGCCATCATGTCCTCATTTACGAGATTTTTTAATTTTAGATAATACCACGAAACTCGAATTTGCCTTAACCGTCCAGCAATTGGCCTGTTCACCCTACCACTTCAGTACAGAATTCTTCATCATCGATCGGCATATTGAACAATTACACGGTTAAAAATTTTCGTCTGAATTTTCCGTGCCAAATTCCGGAAATTTTTATCATGTTCAAGTTCCCCTGAAATTTCAGGAAATCTTGTCATTGAAAAATCCAATATTCCATTGAATTTCTGTTCAAATGATCTGGAAATCAATAAAATACTTGATTTTTCAGTTCAATTATTCTGTGAAAATTCAAAAAAATCAGAAAAATTCAGGGAAAAATTGAAAATCCATGGCATTTTTTTTCTGAATATTCATGTTCCACTGAAAATTCAATCAAGTTGTGAAATTTCCATCTCACTGCCACTGAAAACTCATGAATTTCCGTGAATTCTATTTGAACCTTGAAATTTCATGCCCATTTTTTCCCTAAATCTTATTCAATGTCACTCTCACGAGATTTACTATAAAATCTTCCATGAAATTCAAAAAATTTCCACCACTGTACTTGGATAATGCGTAAACAATGGGATGAAGTTTTTAACTTCTCTGGAAATTTCCTCACACTTTCCATCCGATGAATAAATTTATTAATCTCATTGAGATGATCGTTTCGAATGATTTGAGCCGTTATTTGTGGATAAAAATGTAAGTAGACTGATGCAAGGATCATCAAAATCTCACTGGTGAGTAGTTGTTGCGTGTATAATGACGAGAATAAGAGGTGGGAAGCCGGGAAACAGAGAGTGACAGAGAGAGGCGGTGCGGGGCGAGGGAAGGCGGAGTGAGAAAATAGAAGGCTGCAAACTCACGCGACACATTGGGTGGGTGGGGGAGGAGTCAAAGAAAGGGAAAAAAAGGGGGAAACGATGTTGCTGAGGGCGAAATCGCGTCGTCGAAAGCTTCCGGGGGACTGCGCCTATTAATGGCGGCGCAGGCTCGTGCGCATACTGCACGTCTTATTCCTAATTACTCTATTGACTAAACCGCATCATAATAATAAAGGGATTGCATTGATAAACGTTGCATTGTTTATAACTGAGGGAACTATTGTTGCTAATTAATTGGCGATATGCCCCTAAATTAATTCAGCTCCGATTTTGTGACATCATTTCCTTTGTTCCCGAATTTTTTTCCCTGTAAAAAATCCTCCGAAAAAATTTTCCCAAGAAGAGTTATCATGTCCCCAAACATGTGAAATTTCCCTCGAAAATATTAAATCAGACACACATCTGAACTCAGCATCAATTCATCTTTATTCAATGT